GTAACCCAGTAATGGAGGAATTTATTTACATCGTGTAATAGTCATCTTAATTAAATTTGCAAATTTGGTGGTAATTAAAAAATAACCATTTAATGAAATAGTTATTAAATACAAGTAAGTTATAAATGCAAAATAAAAAAAGTAACTATTCTTAGCATTTTTTCCACCGTAGCGAGTGATTATGTTATATCTAGAATAATAATTACAAGCGTTATTGGGTTTTAAATATATATAAATTATAAAGTGTATCTTTAACAAAACTTTAAACACATAAAATATCGAAAGATTGCAGTTAGTGTTCAACGCTTTCGTTTGACATAACCCAATAGCTTTGAGGAAGTATTTAAAAAAAACACATTAGTTCCCCAAATCAAACTAGATGTCGCTACGGTAAGTTCTTGATTTCTCCATGACAACCCTTCCGGTTTTCTTTCATGTATAAAAGTAAATTAGTTTTCAATACTCAATAAACAACTCATATTCTATTTGTCCCTTTTATATTTCTATTGATGTCTAAGTTTCGAACTTTGCAAGTTTCAGCTTTTTTAATGTTAGTTAAAAGGAACTGAAATGACTGTCTTTGGTCCATTCGTTTCCTGCAAAAATCAACTTTAGCTAGAGTCGCCATCTAGCGGAGGTGCTTTTTAGCGCTTTCTTTTCTTTTAATACTTCCTCATTTCAATTAACTATTTCGTTCACTAGCTTTTGCCCGCGACTTCGTCCGCGTGGTAAAGTTACTTTGAGCAGCATTTCTAGCAAATATTTATTAATGATATAGTGTAAAATACCTGAAATAAAGTTTCATCCCCATAGGTGTGGAATTTATGCCTACATCATAGTAGCTTTATGCGTGCAAAGTCTCAGCCTGATCGGTTTAAAATTGTCAAAGTTTCATACAAAATTTAATTTCCTATTTTATGCCCTTGGGGGTAGAATTCATCAAAATCCTTTCTTAGCGGATGCCTACGTCATAACATCTACCTACATGCCAAACTTCGGCCCGATCCGTCCAGTGGTTTGGACTGTGCGTTGATAGATCACTATGTCAGTCAGTCGCCTTTGAGTTATATATATTTAGATTCAATATCTTTATAAAAGAACATTGCTTTCACATACCAAATAGTTGTATCGTGAAGTTTGTAAATATCTTTCAAAAGTCAAATTGAAAGGGATGGGATTATTTTTAAAATTAGACAATAAGTCCCGTATTGTACAAAATTTTGTTTAGTTATCATGACAGTTTTAAAGTTGATGACAATATAAAAATGTAATACCAAAAAAACATGGTGTGTTTTCTAATTACATTTTGCCGTGACAATCACTATTGTCCCATTAAAAATTGTAAAAGCAAATTGTTAATTCACTTGCTTTTGCCCGTGACATTGTTTGCGTTGAATTAATATTTAGTACATCACTAGCCTATTAACGACTCTAACGACTCCGAAGGACAGAGGAGTTCGAGATGATAAATTTTTGGTCACCCATCTTATGACCGGAACTTACGAAAGTTGCTTAACAACCGTATTGTGATACGGACCGAGCGCATTAGCCACTGAGCCATAGAGCTTCTCGTTTAATTAATAATAGTTGGATATTTAGAGCATGATGAGAAAGAAGACAAAGATATAAGTTAATGTTAGATTATATATACAAACTCTACCTCTCTTTTCAACCCTTTGTGGGGTGTGTTCAGTTATAAATAAAAGTAAATTATGGTGTACAATAAAAGTATTCATTCATTCATTATCTTGCCAGAATTTCATACTATATCTGTACCAAATTTCATCTAAATCGGCAGTGGTTTAAGTGTACTAGACAGACAGGTTATTTACGTTGTCATATAAGGATTACGCAGCTAAAACAAAATTCTATTACAATTAATCATTTGAAAAAAATGTGTTGAAAACACTTAATCTGATTTAACAATGAGTAGTAATAAAGAATGAGTAATTTTTTGGCGATTTTCTTTTCCATGTTACTTTATTTTGTCTTTTTCACACATCAACTCGTATGAACTAATATGACACCTGTGGGCCTATTTTATTTGTCCTTGAACGAAAATTCGGGATATTTCGAATATTTATCTGTGCATTAGAGGCAGTGTCAGCTCCTGCATCCGTTGCCACATAAATTATAGACAAACGTATTTGGAGAAATATAATGGCAATAATAATAAATCCATTTATTTGGGACACAAAGAAAAATAATGTAACACAATCATATTGACAAGGAAAACTTTTCCCAAAACGGTTCCAACTCAGCATATGCTAGTCTTGTGATCAGAGCTGATCTTCCACTGCAACCGATACGGTGTACACAAACAGTAAAATTACAAGAACGACAGTAAGTCAAAAAGATACATTATATAGCCGTAGTTTATCTTTGACTGTATGGCGAGTTAGATTCCTTCGCCTGTTCCATGGACGAAACATAATTAGTATCTATGATCTAAGAACCTTATCTCTATGCAGAGAACCCTTAACTCTATTCCAAGAACACACTAACAATACGACAATACGACTATAGGCCTTTGGTATTGTAGCCAAGGAAAGTATAGATGAACCATGGAATTATAAAGCTATGAAAAAAAGAGAGGAAAGATCGCAATAATCCATGTCTCATTGCCCAATTTCAAAATCTATCCCGCCTAGTCCGTTCTAGCCCGTTCAAATATATAACGATTACGATGGCGATTTATGGTATCTTCCAAAACTATTTTGGGGGTTGCGTACTGCGTTCAATTCACCAGAATATTCAGTGTCAACTTCAACTAGGATGGTTTGGATGTAGGAAGTTAAACGCGTCTTGAGTATTCAACGAATTTTATAATTATTAGGACCACTGAAAATTATCTTCTTGCGTTGCTACTCACTCTCAGAGAATATATAATAATCGTTGTACACCAGAGACATAAACATTATGAAAATTATAAAGAGTATAATTTCTAGGTACATAAATTTTCGCTACACCATTTTACAGATGCAATCGCTATCACATGTCCAATAGTGGTACTGTGAAGTTCGTGAATATCTTTTAAACGTCAAATTGAAAGGGATTGCTATGGATTTTAAAATTTGACAATTAGACCCAGTTTTTTTTTTGCTCTCGTATGCATAGTAGTGACAGTATGTTTTTTGAATAATACCTATAATCAAATCAACTTTAATATTGTGAGTAATTGAAAGTGATAAATTCTTTGATTAAAACAAAAAGGGAAGATACAGCATACTTTAGTGAGTAAGACGCCTGAGAGATTCGGTAAATACTTTATTATTCGCAACACAACGCAATCAAAATTACACATGATAAAATCTGCCATCTTTTTTATTATATCTTCCCATAGATAAAAATTCTATTCTTTTTATCGCGAGGGCTTTTTAGCCCGTCTGACGCGCAATAGTCTATGCCCCCTGCCTGTGGGCACAGAGTTGCTGCAGGTCTCTGACGTGTGAGTTAGACGGTCTGCTACAATACTTATAATAGCATGATCAAAAAAATTACTCTGATAAAATTAATTATGTAAACACACACACGGTATTCCCCGAGCAAGCAAGATGCAGCTATGAGTTCCAACTTTAGTGTGAGCGAGATACGAACTCACGTTATCGGTAGCATGTCAATCGGGCCAGTGAGACAGCGATTAATTTCAACACTAGCATGAGCGAGACAGGTACTTGTGATCTTACACACATGCGCGTAGCAACACGCCTCACATCTGAGATCCATTCTCTCTCTCGCACATGTAATGTGGAATATACTCTTATTCTTTCTTGAAGATGGTGAACTAGGGGTATGTTCCGATATACACTGCGACCACTGAACAGTATGACGTCAATTTAGTATACTGGAAGCCCGTTCCTTTATAGCTAGTTATACTGGTGACTTTTTAAAACGGAACGCAGTCCAGTATACTGTTAATCCTATTTTTGGCGCCATTTTCAAATTTGTTAATGCAAGGTGAATATAAATATAAAGATTCCCTCTTTTCAAAAGAAAATATTATAAAATTGGAAAATTGTATAAAAAAATATTTATCAATCAAATCCATCTTATAATAAACGTAAGTATTTTATTTTATCTGTTTCGACTGATCACGTGGTCAAAAGCACTGCGAGCACTGCACCTCGAAATCTCCAGTGCTCACAGTACAAATATGGCGGCAATTCATGACGTCATAAATTTCCCTACGGTACTGTAGCAGTACACTGGCAGTCCATAACGGAACGGATTTTTCAGCAGTAAGACCACTGCGCAGTGCTCGCAGTGTATGGGTGAATCAACTTTTAAGGCACTCTTTTGACAGCATTGTGAAACAAAAAATCAAAATATAATTTAATCGAATTTACAAGAATAAATGTTTTTATATATTGTAGCATTTACCCTATTTTTAGATTTCTAAGGTAGCCGCGAACTTAAACCTTTACTTTTTGTGATTTTTGAGTACAACGGAAGGTCTGTCGTTAATCTTTCACCTGCGTTATCTATTTTGCCACATTTATTTGTGAAATAAAACGAACTATTTAAAAAAATCAGATATATAATTCTTTAACACAACAAAAATAGAACCTTTTAAAATAATTTAATTTAGTCTATTGTTATTACCTCTTGAGATGCATAATATTTTAAATGGACTGCCTTACTTTGGCAATAATTAAAGTCTAACTTTAAGATAGCTCCATATTACAAATAATCAGTCATTTGAAACTTATATCTAAATCAGTCGGTACTTTTATATTCTTATTATTACATAATTTTGATTATTTACCACTTATATTGCAGAAACTATTTCCTAAAATACAATCACAAATTAGGGGACACCCGGTAACACCAGAGATAAATTAGTAACGCTAGAGAACAAGGTAGCACCTGCGCATAAAGTCTTCTAATCACATAACGTAATCTAAGATTAACAAGGCAACAAATAAAAAACTTATAAACTTAAATGAGATCAAAAATTAAAATAAAACTATAAAGAAATAGCGAACAATTAATTATAAGTCTTATATCTTCTCAAAAACTTCTAACGACTCTTTAAAAACATAATAAGAGCGACAACCTTTCTTAACAAGTGCAGGTACAGGTAATTTTTTGACAATATTTTCATGATTAACGTATGAAATATCCTTTTTATCCAAACGGAAACGTTTGGCGTTTTCATCTACCACTCGTAAAAACATTACTTGTATTTCTCCGTCGTCCTCAATTTCTGTTAATGTTTTGCAAGCATAGGTGTAGGATTTAGTTTTAGATGCATCTACATACAATTTAACTAATAGAAAGTCACCGCGTCCTATCTTTGCATTAATGTCATAGCTGGCACTAGGTTCTTTATCAGATGAATAGCTTTTATCTGATTCAGAATTATAAATTTTACTGTATATATTTTGGCGTCTATTGGTCAATTCCTGTAACTGTTTGGTAATTTTTAAAGATGCTAATGGTGTGTCGTCATCAGATATAATTTCCAAATCTAAAGTCAAAGTATCAGAAGCCATGACATCAATCATGTGTGCTTCTAAAGCTTCTGGCAGAGCATCTTCATTAGTCAGGTCTGGAAGAAGTTCATTCTTATTTGCATCAAAAAGAACTGCAAGGTCATAAAGTTTTGGGTTAAGGCACGAACAGAATCCTCTTGGTCTTAGGCTCTCACTCTCACAAAAACGGTTAGGTCCCTGTATTCTAGCTTCCCATAACAGTTTGAGAAAACCTGATGTACTTTTAGCGTTCCTATAAGTCGTGGAATATTTTTAGGTAGGGCTTTATGTTGGTTCTCGATATCATTGGAGTCAATTACATATAATATTATTTTACTAACATTTTTCATCTCCTCATAGAATTGCCAAACATTAGCAATGTCTTTACCATTAGCTACGATTTTGTCCGCCGTTCTTTTGAGAAATCCTCCTATTCCATCAGCTGGCCCTTTTCCGTGGCCAGCTTCAAAAAATGACCATGTCATATTAACAAACCCGTAATCAAAAAACCTTGTACACATTAAATAAAAATTTTGCTTTTGCCGGTACTGGGTGCTTGGGCCATCCGAGTAGAAATGGACTGTGTTGATATCTGCAAAATTAGACCTTATACTTTTCAAAATTGGATCTAAGTGGCACCAAATCGCTGCAGGCTGATGGTTGTTGGATTCGGAAATAGTACAAAATGAATTAACTTCATAACCTTTTGCAGAGTTTTTGTTAAATGTATACACTACAACAGTATGAAGAGAAATTTGTTTACGCGACCCTCCAAAATGGTGGGATTGTACTTCTTGGCTATGTTTGCAGTTGTAATTTTCACTGAAATCGGCGACCAAAATGCATTCATATGGACGTATATTATCAAGACAGTGGCGGAAACTTTGAAATTGTGTCTTAATATTAAATACATGTATTTTAAACGCCTTTAGATCATTCTCGAATATTTTGACAAATGCTTCAGCCTCCTCATTTTTATATTCTTTAACATTTTTTATAGTTTTTAATAATTTTTCGTCTTTCTTGTATCTATCTTCTTTTCTTATCCATTCTGGCCATGTGATAGTACCTCTTATATTCTTTCGGAAATATTCATATTGTTTATTAGCACATAGATCACATATACCATACATACAATTTTTTGACTTCACATTACAAACAGTCGACTCAATAAGAATATTTAAGTTGTCAGTACCTGTTATACCTTTCTTTTTCAAAACATTAGCTTTGTAGGCAAAGTTTGTGTGTATCTTGCATAGACACGTATTTCGACCATCAACAGAAGCACTAACCACATAAAATGGCTTATTTCTTGTAAAATAAAAATATGAACAACGAAGGTCAGGGTTCTCTTTAATAAATGCTTTATATAAATTTTTCATAGAATCCAACATAAATCTTTTTTGAACCTTCACCTGTGCTTTTGTGACAGTTTCTTTTTTGCCGGCTGTAGCTCGTGAAACATCATCTCTCAAATAAAAATCTTTAATTCGTCTCTTTAACACAGTTTCATTCTCAATGCAGAATTTCCTTTTTACTATTTTGTCGATTCCTAAATTATTCATAAGCATCTTTTTCTTCATTCGTGAGTCTATGACTTCCACAGTTGAAAAAATTTTCTTAATCACCTCTCGTTCTTTCCTCGATTTTGTTTGTTTAAATGTCTTCTTAATAGCTCCACTCAGGACCTTGTACCGTAAGTCTTCATTTTTCTCAGTGTCAAGAGCCTTTTTTTTCTTTTCTCTTTCAAACCTTTTTTTGTACTTGTCATATTTTTGTTTCAACTTTTTAATATTTTGCTTAAGTATTTGGTTTTCTCTATGTACGCGTGCCCTGTCCCTTTTAACTTTATTTTTGCGTCTATTTTTTGGGGTCCCAGATGGTGAAGAGTCACACGAACGTATTCTTGGCGTTAGCGGTGGAGTGGCTTGAGGCGAAGCGACCGGTGTAGTTGTAGGAGTGGTATTTGTCACAGGCGCATTTCGTGGGATTTCCTTGCCAGATCGTGGTATTAACCGTGGAGAACAGCGTATGTATTTCGAAGACCTGGTAAAGGTCTAAAACAGGGTGGCGGCGTAATTCGTGAGGATCGATCTCGGGACGATGGCGATGGTGGCGGAGTTCCACTTTGTACATTTAAATCGAATGTAGGCGAATCTGGAGGTGTCTGTTGTAATAAACCTTCTGCAGCTTTCTTTCGTGCCTTCAACTGCCTTTTCCTTAGTTTCCATATCACGTTTGCATTATACCGTTCTTTTGGTGTTAAATCTTTGACTAATCTTTTAGTTTTATGATATCTTTCCCTTTGCTTTTGCTTAGCTTTTTCGTATTTTTCTCTATCAGTTTTAAGCCTTTCCCTATAACGCTTTTGTTTCTCTGCGGCACTAAGCGGCATTTTACTTTTGTGTAGTCGAAAGTCCAAACCTAAGACAAAGTAAACAATATTATTAAATACTTTGGCAGTCCGAAATATCCAACTATGAGTGTAAATATATCCCACTTATAGTCTTTTATGATTATAAGGCGTATGCATTTTATTAAGAATGGTTATTAAAAAAAATGGTTCGGATTTATATATTTTGATTTCCCGACGTTTCCGTCTTTACGGGAGCCATGGTCACGAAATGACCACTTAAGCAATACTGGAACTAATTGTACACGCGTTGTTGCAAGTTAAAGTGCTTTATTTAATATAAATGCATTAACTATTTATGTCAGACTACTCACATTGTCTCTGGCGTTACTGGTATCGCAAGAGACAATTCTGTTGCGTTACCAGTAACGCAGTAGAAAATTCATGGTAAAAATACAAATAAGTAATTCTACGTTGCAAATTGAACCATTATTTTAACTTTGCCTTCAAATCAGACGTTATGGTTAAAATTTTATTATAAGAATAATAAAATATTCCACAAACTTACCACGATGTCCGGGGTAACGCTGCGGAGCAACAATAAACCCACACGCACTACTTGGGAACGCAACGAACACTGGCGGGAGGAGAGACGTCGAAAGAAAATAACGGTCAACATCGACGTGAAGTTAGACAAAAGGCAGCGCTAGCGACGCCAAATAGGTACTCTCCGCGCGATTATTTCAAAATTAAAGAAGTCACTCGGGAGAACTAAGTTTTGAGACATTATTGGCGACAGATCCTAATGAATAATTATTAAATATTGTTTAAATACAATTAATAAAATGTTGTACTGAAGATAAATGCTTATTTAATGTAGATTTTAAATATGTCGAAATAATTGGGTAGCTTGATATATATTTTTTAACATTTGACTTGATTTGCTTGATCGACTATGCCTGGTGACACAGAGTTTTTGTATGGAGAGTTAAAATGTTCTCCTGCGATACTGTAGCTTGAAACGTTTAAAATTGTTAAAATTAAAAAGTCTTTGTTCTCATGTTACTAAATGCATCTAATTTTAGGTTAATATAGAAAAAAAAAAGTTTATAAGTGAGTTTTATTCAATATGATTTTTCTAGAGCGCGGGCAAGAAAGGAGTGTCTTAAAAGTTGATTCACCCGTATATCGGAACATACCCTAGATACCTATTAAATAGTTGATTTTGAATAAAAATGTGTTTTAATATATTTAAGCGGGAAATATGATGGCGTGATGTTGTTTTTTTCTTGAACTATTTCTACAATTTATAAAAGCACACCCAGACATTTGGTCGACCTTTTCCCCACAGAATTATAAGCATTTTTTTTTTGTTTTTAGAGTATGTATCTTTCATGGAGTGATCGACCGTACTAAAAGTGAAGCGAAATTGTGTGCACGCACTTAATTTATTGTTTCCATTAGCAAAACGTGTTTGCCGTATCTTCCCTATTTGTTTTTATCAAAGGTTTAATTATATAATGTTATATTACAAGACTCCGACCGATTTTTTTGAATGTTTGTTTCATAATATTTCGGTTAGTTAGAAGGGTTTATTTTCAGGGCCATTTCGGAAAGATTGCATCAAAAGTTGGTCAGTAGTTACTTATAACTCAAATGTAGATTCTTTAATAAAAAACATCGTTTTTTTTAAATGTGTACAGTTTTATTAATAAACAAGGTTTAGCGTTAGAGTAAATTTACGCTGAGACTGCACTAAGTATTAGTCAAAATTCATATTATTAAACAGAGACTTGGCAAAGGTTAACCTAGTACCAGGTTATACGGAAGTAATATTTACACCTAGAAGGTAGTAGGTTTGCTTATTCTCTATATAATATGAATTTGGACTTATAAAAAAAGTTTTAGCAATATGAGCTAATTCATATATAAAAATATTGGTGTTAATATTTTTTTTTTTGATTTCTTGAAATATATTGGCAAAAACATTTTTGTTTCATCATAAGGCTATGAATATATAATAATAAATATAAACTCACGTGAAATAAACACGCAGACTAGCGCCAGAGAAGTCGCCATTCTTGGTAATAATTATAACGATCTATACATTTTATTGTAACAGATTTTATAAGTTTATTTAAATTCATAAATAATAAGTTTAAGTCAAAAAGGACACCAACTAAAAGGTAACAGAGTACATTTTTTATTAATTTACATTCAGATTTAGTTGATATTAACGCTTTGAACTTGATTTATAATAACAAAATCAGTATTCGATCTGATAACGTCGAATGTTTATTCAATTCTATAATCGGAAATAAAACAAATTTGATTAATATAAAAATCTATTATAATGAATGTTACATTTTATGCTCAGACTGGCTCTTATACACCCCACAAGCGTTAATAGACAATGGATTCTGTGAGCTTCTAACATCAGTTTTCACTAATCTAGGACAAAACGTAGCTTAACAAAAAAATGTCTAATCTTACGAATCGCCGTAGCAGATTACATTAATTCCAAATTAACATCTTTTCTTTTATCCTTTGACATACGAAAATGTCTAGCGTAAGGCGGCGCATCATCATCATCATCATCACCAGCCCTTTTACGTCCCCACTGCAGGAGCTCAGGCCTTCCTTATGGATGGTTCAGGAGGGTGGGCCATGACCCTCCACGCTGGCCCAATGCGGATTGGAGGGTATTAACGACTGCAAATGCAGCCGGGACCAACGGCTTAACGTGCCTTCTGAAACACGGAGTAGCTCGAGATAGTAATTTTTTGGTCACCCATCCCGTGAATGACCCTTGCGAAAGTTGCTTAACGACTATGATCGCCGGCCGCGGCGCTTATCCACTACGCCACCGAGCTACTCATGACGCATCATAACTTTAGACTGTGCTTAAAGTCGTTAAGTTTCATCTTAGGCGATTTCTAAATATTAGGGCGCCTTCTAAGTTTATTGAAAACAGGCATACATTTACTATTACCTATGTCCTACTAGTACTTACACTTATCAATAGCTTACCTAATACTTATCACAAGTAGAGAAAATTTCGTGCATCAATTTTTAGTATGAAGTAAATTTTTGACATTGGATATAGTAATAAGTGAAAGTAATTATCCACTCCTAAAGTCTCTCGGGGATCTCAATCTTCCATTTTGTTTTTTACTCATTATAAGAAAAACAATTAATTCAATTAATTAAAAATAAAATAAACCGACACCAAATAAGTCGTAAAAATGACAAATAATACCACAAAGTAAATAATGAAAAGAAAGGTTTTTTTTCTTCATTGCTACAACGCGTTGTAAACTAATTTTTTCCTCACTTAGTTAGATTATACTAGAGAACTATAATAATGTAAAATTTTGCGTAGGATCATTTTCAGTTAGACATCAAACTAATATATAACGCCATTTATTCTAAAACTCCATTTTTAAAAGTTGTCGTTAGAGATAAAGGCTTCTCTAATGTCAAATGTATGGAAACGAAATGTAACGATGATAGTTTTTGAAAACTTTTTCTTTTTATAAACATGTATAAGAGTCAATAAATATGTGAAGAAATTTGCAAAAGTCTTCGAAATTACACACAAGAAAAACTTTTATTAAATAATTGTGAAAAAAATAAATGTGCTTTCGTTGATTTTAATAAAGTTTTCGACAGTGTTTTGTGGTCGTACATTTTGAAAATTTATTTTATTTAAAAATTAATATTCTTTGGGACGCGAAGTTTATTATATATTCATATTTATTGTATATTTAAGTCGAATATACATCATAGTATAATTTTTATTGTAGTTTAGTAACATATTAAACATGAAGCGGTGTACCACTAGGAAGTTTTCGGGTCCTGTGCTATGTGTTACTGGTACGTTAGTACTTTATAATAAAAAAAACAAGATCTGAACAAAATTTTATTTTATACAATACGACAAAACAAGTTTCTATTACATAATATGAAGCATTAGCAGCAATAGGATTATTTAAAAATAAATCTACTCTAAATCAATCTTAGGCTAATCAAATAATCAAATTGGCCATGTTATGACATGTATGTCACATTTGGCATGTCAGAATTTTACAATACTATCAATTGTTACAGTTTACATAATATAATTATACTTCTTAAATATGCAATTTGTATCATTAAAAAATAATTCGTCATTCTCCAAATAATAATCATAACAGAAAATAATATCGGTAACAAAATTAAGTTGAAAATAATTATATAAATGAATAATTTGATTAATTAACTACATTTTCATTACAAATTAAAATTAAAATCTTTCCAGGTCTTTTTCAAAAAATCGTTTAGTTTATAAAATGGATAAGATTCAAAAAATAATTTTATCACAATTTTAAATTTATTTAATGGTAACTCGGTAATATCTATAGGCAGCTTGTTGTACATATAAATTTTTAAGTTGAATCCTTATGTTTGGATCTTTTTTAGTTTAGTCGCCTGGATATGTAATTTCTCCTTGTTCCGCGTATTATACCGGTGATAGTCTTTTTTCTTAGGTAGTGTGTCTTTCTGACAATGCACTTCCAGAAGAGACTTATAAATAAAAAGAGATATCACTGTCATTATTCTATTTGATTTAAAATATTTCTTTACCGACTGATATCTACGTAGCCCATTCATGGTCCTTAATGATCTCTTTTGGCAGACAAGCACACGGTTAATTTGAGACGCATTACCCCATGCAGTAAGAGCGTAACTCAAAATGGAATGGCAATATGCATAATAAATTGATACTAGCGCCTTTTTACTCACCAAAGGCCGCAGTTTATATAAAACATAGTTTCCACTGGCTAATCTCCTGCACACCATGTCTACATGTTTATCATGACAGATTGTCTAATCGATAGTGTAGCCCAGAAAAGTAGTATATGTCGTCCCTTTAAATATTTTTTCCTTTCTTATTCAATAATCCATTATGATAGTTTTATCTTCATTTAGTAGTATTGCATTTACGTTAAACCATTTTTTAAGACTATCTATTACCTTCGCCTTTTTTTCATTTGCCCCTT